GCTAAAAGGGGGCTGGCAGGGCTCCTTATATACCAATGGAGCGTTGATCCATAGGTGGTCAAGCGAACCAATCGGGCCAAACCCACCTTTTGACAATATTTGCTAAGGATATTCTGAGAGTAGGTCTGCATTGCTGCAGTTATGGCTCTTTTTGTGGCAACAGCCTCCGATCTGTTCTCGGCAGGGACTGGAACACCTAAAGAAAAGTCGTACATCTGAGTTGAAGGGGTCGCTTTGAAAGGGTTGTGCTTTGCTACAGCAACTCCAAGACGCGACAAGTACTTTTGCACAGTCTTGGTATTTTCAAAAAGCACAACGCCGATGTTGGCAGGGACCTTTGTTTTGGGGTTGACGTATGTCTCAGCATGCCCTCCGATCTGACTTTTCTTCTCAATTACGACAACCGTTGCGCCTGCATCTTTGAGATTGATTGCTGCGTGTATGCCGGATGAGCCACCACCGATAACAGCTACATCCACGTGAACATTATGGGCTATAGCCAAAACATTTGGAGTAGATAGGCAGGACGCCAAGGCAAAGACATAGGTACAGAACTTCATGGTAAGAAAGTGATTGAAAATCAAATAGCCTTATTTATCAAACTTTTTCCAAACCGCTATCTTATACAGCCAGAATGGAACGTATTTCACCCTCTTCAGCGGGTCAACTTATTAATTATGATCGCGGTGAAGCTTCTGGAATGGAGTTTGGTGTTGTGTCTACCTGCAGCTGTGCCCACTTGCCATTGCCAGTTTATGCTGGCCCCAATGTGTAATCTTGAATCCGTCTCACACTGTGAAAAAGCCCCACCATCCCTTGCCTGTAAGCAACATTTGGCCAATGGCTAAGCTGATCAATCATTTTGATGTTGGCTAGATGAACAGGCATTCATGCTCCTTGCGCCCCTTATCAAATACTTGCAGATGTACGAATCGACCATTGGACCCTGCGTACTTCACGACTTGCCAGCCCCAGTTATGAATGAGCATGTATGAACTATTCATCACTCCACGGTAGTTCCAGTTGAGGGGGAAAATTCCTAGACTTGCGTACAAACTCTAGCACCTTCGCCAAAGGTTTTCTGGAGCTAACTTATACTGGCTTGTCGATGTTCCTTTCCTCTCACCGCCGAGATAGTCCCTCTCCTTGGCAGTGGATCAAATACCCTATATATGGATTAGGCACCCTTGCTCATGAATTGTGTTATTTCCTTCACATAAAGTTCTCAAGCCCTGAATTAATCCAGGAAAGCAGGCTTGGTATGCTTGTTATGCAAGAGTAGGAATGTCTGTAAATAGTGGCCGAGTTGATAGTTTTACACCGGGACCTGTCTATCTTGTTGGTAGAGAAGACCTATAGCCCGATGTAAGCTCCGATACAAAGCATCTACTCTCTGAAATCATTGATGTACATGATATTTTTTATCTATGTCTCAATTGCAGTTGTAAAATTGATTGAAGGACCCTCAGTATTATGTCTCGTAGTTATGTGTCAAATGAGATCTCATTCACAGGCATCAGCGTGGGGCTTGTTTGTAATTTATAAACAAGTATTAACCGCGGAAAAAAAAAAAA